GGCGCCGCCCATGCCGATGCCGCCGCCGGAGCCGCCTTGGCCGCCGCCGCCGGCGCCCGCGCCGCCGGGCCCTGCGTCGCTGCCGCCGCCGGAGGCGCTCGAGTAGCCGTTGCCGCCCGCGCCGCCGCCGCCGCCGAACGAGGCGGTCACGCCGCCGTGCGAGGCGGAGAAGTTGAACGCACTGCCGACTTTCCAGGGGAGGGACGAGGCGTCCTTTAGCGTTCCGTTTGCGTGTAGGAAGGTAGAATTAGGCGACACGGATACCGTCGTCGTGACGTTGAAGTAGCCGCTGAAGGTCACCAGTAGCTCTTGCGCAGACTCCGTCTCTTCGACAGATACACGAGCTACGCTCGAGTTGTCCCCAGGATCGAGTTGTGCCGGCGTTGTAGTCTCGTTTCTTGACCTATCTATTCGTTCTTGTAACAGTTGTCCTCCTTGTACGCTTTTCTGAGTTTGTCTTGTTACGACTGTGCAGTTACTCAGTTTTGAGCAGAGGGACAGAATCAGACACACAAGTAGGAACACTCTTCCTTGTCTCTGCCACGGTCGACACATGATTGCCCGTGCTCCAGGAGGAGTTTCACAACGATTGCTATGGATTGAGGGAGTTTTGCAGTCCCCGGTGCTTGATTCCTGAAAGGCGAGGGTAGAACTGACTTGAGACACAAAGGAGATAAGTGGCACCAGTTGAAGAGGGAGTTTTGCGTAGAGTAGGACCACGGGAAAAGCGGTGCGAGAAAAGTTTTATAATAAGTCCCGCTGTGGCAACCTAAGGTTGAGGCTGGAAATCGGAGAACCCCCCCTAGCAAGCAAGCAAGCAAGGTGTTGGTCCGATATTTCGTTTATCTCTTTTCTGCGCTTCATCCTTAAAAGCGTTAAGCGTGTTCACCGTTCCATAAACACCAACTATTAAACAGATGATGCGGTGAACACGGATACGACAGGGTGGCCCTTCAGCCAAAAGTGATTCGCGATGGGATCGCTTTCTCTGGCTCCAGTCTTGGTCCAGTAGCATCCGGGGTGCATGACGTGTGGACACACGTGGATTGCATCCATTGGATGTATGTATCGGGCGGGCGACGTCTGGTAGCCAATGAACGCCCGCAATGCTGATGCAATTCCCACACTTGAATTGGCGATCACGTGCTACTGTAGGCTCGTGAGAGGGGCCAAATGATTATGCGAGAAAATGGCCCCGCGAGCAACTGGCCCGCGAGAAACTGGCCCATCCGTTTCCAAATCTACACGTCGACTCATGGTACACGTGGACCTCACCGCGCGTAGTCAAAGCCCGGGAAACGGTCCAACGACATCAACAGGGCGCCCACGTCAGGGTTTCCCGCTCGCAGTTTCTCCAAAAACCCAGCAACTCTTTCTTCACATTCGTCTAGTGTTGTGTGCAGCCGTCGCTTCTTCGCCCCTCCGCCTCGGTACTTGTCATTGATAACACCGATGAGTTTACCCGTTGCCGAGGATGGCGCAAGGTTCAGCCTTCGCAGCAGTTTAAGCGTTCCGTTCCTCGAAAATAGCTCTTCGGATCGCGTTTCTATGAATTCCACCCGTCTTTCTGACTCTTCGCTTTCCACCATGACACCGCCATATGCTTTTTGTATGTGCCGGAACCGCGCTTCTGATGCTAGCACGTAGGACAAGATTTTCTCATATGCGTCCAACTCGCCATCATTCTGCAACTCTTTGATTTTGATATTTGAGTTTGCGCCAGCCGCTGTCTCCATCCAGTTGTACCCATCTCGACTTGTGAAGTATCCGGTTTCATACATGCTTTTTAGCACCGCCGCAACATATCTCCTGATCACAACAACGTCGATGCGATACCCAGACTGTGGGAGCTTGTCAAGGACCACGTCATAAAACCACGACTTGAAGTTCGGGTTGGTCTCAGCGTACACGACGTCCCGGACCGTGTGTATGCTGCATCCAGTATTGCTCCCGATGTCAACCACTGTCGCCCCGTGTTTTGCCCTCTCGTGTGGGAAGGCTGCCGACCAGAAGGCACCCCCGTGCTCCGACCAACCGCACCCTCTTGTCATAAAACTTGTCTTATTGCTCTTTCCCGACGTTGACGATACTTCAGATCTGATCAAGGGTAACTTCACCGATGCCCGTGATTGATACGATGCCCGTAGCGAAACATTTTGCATTCGGACAGCCCCTCCTCCAGAGCAGTAACCATTGCCACAGGGAACCTCGTGATTTGCAGAAATCACTTCGTTCACGGACGCAAGAATCTTTGACAAATACTTCGATCCTGAGCGTCCGACGTTCAGAGAAAATATGAGTCTGGCAACAGGAGCCAGCCGTACTTCCATACTTCGCTTTCTTGCATCTTCGTGAAGGACTTCTGCAAACTTGAGAAGGGCCTCATTGTTTTCTCGGGAAAACTGCGGTTTGGCTTTGCTCGGAATCCCACTGAGACTGTCCCTCACCCACTGCAATACTGCAAAGGAACCAAAGTTCTCCATCGGGATCACCAACACTCGGAAATGACTTCCAACCTCACCAGCGAAAGCCCGTGCCGTTTTTAAACACAACGACTCTCTAGAGGACGAAGTTGTAGTGATATGGTCGAATAGTATAGTGGTGTGAAAGTGGGGAAACTCGTTTCTCAACAGCTCGAGAAACGATGCTCGAAACCCCTCATCGACTTTAGAAAGTGATATAAATAGTTGGTTATCCTGTGACTTCGCCAATGCGGACAAAATGCTTCGTTCGATATCTGACTTCCAGTGCTCGTATTGTACAAGATTTTCTTTCGGGTTGGACAATTGCACTGCAAAGGAGCGAAATTCCTCAGTGAGCTGGAGCTCCGACCATTTCAAATGCCGAAGGAGCCTGCTGATCATCGAGTTCGATTCCACCGCAACCACTAAGGAGGCCGTTTTAACACGAGGAACGTAATGCAAGTCTTCTCGTGTCAGTTCCATTCGGTCGAGCGCAGCTCGTAAAGCACTAAAGTCAATCTGCTGCCAGGCTTCCAAACCGCGAAACCGAGAAGGACCCTGTTCTTGCATCCATTGCAGCAGATCCTTCGCACGCCATGCTTCAACCTGGTTGTAAAGGCCCGCATCAAAATCCTTGTACCCGTCAAAAAATGTTGAGCTCACCGACGTGAGCGGCACTTCTTCTTGGAAACCGTCTTCTTGCTTGATTGATCGAAAATCATGTCGCGGAAACAGCATCCGGACCATTTTTCCGCTCGTCACTCCATCCTTTGAACCAGTCACTCGACCTAACGCTTCGTACCAGGCCGATTTCAACAACACGTTACTCAAACTCAGGAAGCGTACCTCCACAATAGCGCAATCGTTGAGATGTTTCACTTTTGACGGATAGAGCAGCTCAGCTCGCTGCCTGAGATACTTTCTTGGTTGCGGACATACAGTTCTAGGGCAGCGAACCACATGGATTGTCCCGTGCTCAGACGAGTTGGTGCCAATGTGCCGTGCGACGGAATTCTCTGCTGTGTAGTGAAACTCTTTATCATCCGCGAAAATGGCAATCTGTCTTCTCTTCAGAAAGTTCATGCTCGGATCTCCAGAGAGCACGCGCTGAAGTGAAGTTGATTTCCACACCTCCACCCACGGAAGGTACAGACTCTCTCCAGGATTCAGACCGAGAATCGTGTTACGCAACAATCCGTTCTCGACGCAGTTAGACGATAGATACTCATCATAGTCTAAGACGACAAAATGGGAACCGCCAACCCGTCTTCCAGCCTCAAGTAAGAGCTCGCGATCGCGCAGCTCATCCCGAATCCAAGGGCCAGTTTTGTTCAGCAGTACTTCCACTGCTCGCTGTCCTGTTCTCATGTTCGCGACATTTGCATTGAACTCCAGAATTGCACGGCGTGTGCCATCGGTGCTATGATCGTCGACGAGCACAACAGAGTCAACTGTGTTGCTGAGCGCGGAAAGAAACGAAGATATCGTCTTTTCCGCGTTGCGCACTTCGACCAGTCCAACGATTTTCTTCCCCGCGTTATTTGTGAGAAAGTTACCACAAAGGCGGAGCTCGTCCACGTTTGCATGTACGTGCGTTATCTTACATACAGCCTGCGCCCGAAGCTCCGCCTCACGCTTGAAGAAGAAATCCTTGTCCGGCTGCTGGCCCTGGCTGTGAATCAGATCAGGAACGGATTTGCTGTCCTTCCCCGGAACTTCGACACGCTGCGGCGTAGAAAAGTAGATGAGGCGAAGGAGTATAGCAAAGAGCAAGAGGCAAGTGCAGAGTTGCTCAATCTTTCGCCTCAGGAGCCATTTCCGACTGAGGCGCACCAGACGAAAAAGTCGTTTTTGGCTTTGACGCAAGGCGCCTTTGAGCGCTTTTGCTAGACCTCGATCGCGCATTGGGGTGTCATTTGCTTGTCGATGTCGCAAGTTCACGTCAATGACACGCAGGCGAAGGAGAGAGAAGCGCCATGCATGCCTGCTATGCTGATGTTGCGTCCAATCGATAAGAATACATCTCAAAAGCAAAACATAACCAAACACACCCCCCCGAAGCCGACCCTGAATTTATTTTGAAAACACAGAGACCTCTGCATCCTCTGCGCCCACAGATTTGCTTCCGATACGCGTTCCGCCCGCGCTTTTCAGAATACGTAGCTTCTCGTCAGCCGTCATTGAACTCCTGAGTCGCCTTCTTTCTAGCGATGAAGCGGTTGTCCGCGTTTATCCTACCTGTCAACGTTAACCCGTGTGGTCCCGCGGATTGCCATGATGCCCGTTTTTGCACTTTCACATCATCCGTCTCGTGAGGTGTACGTGTACACAAGAGAGCAATACAAGAGCGCCTAGTGCCTATATTGGAACCGGGATCATTGTTCAAGCCCTTCCTCCGTTGCGACTCTTCGGAGAGCGCCCCACCCCGTCCCGAGTCCCTCCCCTGTCCCCGATGCCGACCCCGACGCTGGCCCGCCAACTCCGGCTGCGGTGCCAGTACCACCTGGTCCGGCATTCGCGGACCCGAAACCCACCCCCGGCACAGGGAATGTCCCATCCACATTTGCTGTGCTCGACCCCACATCAGACCCAGTTGAACCCCCTGCCGCCCCGCCAGCCTCTCCAGCAGCGAATCCGGCCATCTGCGTGCCATTACCCGCCGCCGCGTCGTTGCCTTGCCCCTGTCCGAAACCCTGCCCAGATCCCCCGTTCCCGCTTCCAGCCCCAACCCCGCCACCCCCAGCACCTGCCTGCTGCCCAGAGCCAGCAGCAAGCCCGGGAGCAAAAGCACTCTGCTGCTGTGCGAAATCCCCGTGAAAACCTAGACCGACGCTTCCATCTTCAGATGCCGACCCGGTTGCTGCGCTCGAGCCGTTTTCATCTGCTGTGACAGCCGTCGACTTTGAGTCTCCAGTCCCTCCGGTACCGCTAGCAGCGGCAGTTCCGGCAGCACCCCCGCCGCCGGCCCCGGTGCCAATGGTGTTGCCTCCAGAGGTAAATCCCCCTCCCATTCCACCTGACAAAGCCATGCCGCCATCGCCGGCCGCAGATGCTGCAGAACCGCCACCGTTGTCGCCGCCAGCTCCCATCCCAGCGCCCGCTCCATTCAAAGCACCGGCCATTCCCCCGCCAAAGTTTGCACTGATGCCTCCGGCGTGTCCATTGTACTGAACTGCACCGACGTAGGCTAGCCCACCAGGATCTGATGCAGCCCCGGAGCCGACTGAACTCTGCCCTGATGCTAGAGCTATCAAACAGGCCCCTGATACGACTACAACGATCATCATCTTCATTCTTCTCCGAAAAATCTAGTAGTTGCAAAGATCGCGCTCAGTCTGGTAAGACTCCATCGCAAGTCGTAGGGGCAGACATACATGGTAGAGTTGTCTGTGTCCCTCTAGTTTTCCAAAATGAAGAAAGCTAAATCTCCTGTCCCGCCTCCACGCCAAACATTGCGTAAAACGCTTCTGGATGGCCCTATTAGTGTTTCACGTGCAGGTTCCGTAGTACCGAGGTAGGTGTTGACGAATTGATGAGACCCTGCCCATTTGAAGGGCAAAGCGAATTGGGCAAGATACCGGTAAGCACTTCCAAAAAATCATGCGACTTTACCTGGCCCATTTGCTAAGCGCTTCAAGAGTGTGCAGACTCGTGCAGTTTCCCCTCTCCCGCAATGCCATCACGGACTGCAGAGCCCAGCGATTTGTCCCAAAAGAAATTTTCGCGTACCCGCAGAACTGGACCACTGTAGCGTCGCAATGCAACGAATAGTTCACCATCCGGTTCGTTACGTGCCAATTTTGGAATCATTGGTCGTAGGCGCAGGCTGCCGCATCTGCATCGCTCTAATATACTCCTGTGTACGCACCTGATCGAGACGCTCTAAGTGGAATGACACAGGACGGATTACCTTGATAGACAATACCGTGGCAGTAGGAAGCGTGGAGAACAACAAAACGCGTCCGTTGCGACAACATAAGATTGATGCGCGTGAAGCATATCTCTGTAAAATCCGAGTCGGCCCCCATTGCTCACATCGCAGCGAAAATATAGTAGACACTTAGCTAGCTTTCCAATAACCCCCAGGGTTCCGCTCTCAAGAATTCCACCTTCAACGCCCGAGACCTGCATCTGCACTTCGATAACGAGCTTACAGCGTATCTTGATGTTTCCTAATCACAACTCAAGCAGGCGTGCTCAAAGCACAATGAGTTTCTGACGCAAGCAAAGCATCATCTAACTGTCGTCTCCCTCACAGTGGATTTCCATCTCCAAACAAGCTGTCAAGAGCGGCATCGCCAAGAACAATTTCTTCCAATTCGTGCCTTGGTTTGTTAGCATTGCGAGCGGGATTATTTGTAATCAGCTTCTCTGGCAGGGATGCCACCTTGATATGCGGTCTTGAATCAACGCCTGAGAATTCAGCTATTCTGTTGATCATTTCCACGACATAGACCTTGTGTTTCTTGGGTTTGGAGCTATGCTGACTGCTCTGGGCAATGGCTTCAATGCACTCCGCGACATACGTCGAAACTTGTTCGTATCTTTGCGTGGCTGCCTCCATAACAGCCTTGCTTTCCACAGGCCACTTTCGCATCACCGCTAACATGGCCCCCGTCGCGTGATCAAATGGTGAATCCCCTTTCAGAGCTCGGTTTTCCAACGACGTGCGGAAACTCGCCTCCAGAAGGTGTCCAAATAGATCGAAGCGATCCATCGGAGCTATCGCTGCACTAGTAGTAACAAGCTTGAACCCCATATTAGCCGTAGTGCTGTCAAGGAAGCCCTGGCCAGGACTGCAAATGACGCGCCATATAGATCTGATTTTGCTTCCGAGGATGGGAAGGTCAAGCACAGGCGGCAGCCACGCTTCCGACGGTTCCAGTGTCCTACCTTTCCTTGAAATAAGAGGAGGGTACATGCCTTGAAGGAGGTCTACAGCGGATCGCGCCAGACATTTCCGACCATAGTCCCTTGCGATATCCACTGTAGTGGATACTGAATCAACAATTTCACCAAGCTTAGCAGACTCGATATGTTCCTGGATGACATTGAGTAGATTTGGAAGCCCAGACCGTTCAAGGATCTCCAAGTACCCGGAACTAGCTGCCATGACGGTATGTGATAGCAACGGGCGTAGCACTTTTCTCGTCACTTCAACCAAATGGATCGGCTCGAGATGATAGCAGTCCGACGTTAACGCAGACACCAAACACTGCAGATGCACCTCCGAATTCGTCACCCCCGAAAAGACGGCAGATCGCATCATCTCGTACGCTGACTTTCTCAATGTCTTCAATACTTCTCGCGCATGGTTATATCTCGGGTCTGGCGGCTCTATTGCATACTGACGAAGAATCTGACTACTCAATTGCTCGCCTAAGGTTCCTAACCTAATATCGTCTCCTAGTTTAGATTTCTCATCAACACGCTCCCTCCGCACGCGAGAACTATTTTCAAGGTTTAAGAGAGCAGTGATTTCTCTGCTTGTTGGAAGTAGCATTTGCTTGCGAGCCCCGGTCTGGTCATCCAGAGGAAACTTCGTGTTATTGTACAGTCCATGCAGTGTTCCAATCAAAACACCAGCGGATTTCACACACCTCGGAGCAATAGTGCGAGAAAGGACGTTTGGTACAACAAAATTCGTCTTCACGATGAGATGGGTCCCTGATTCCATCAATTGAAAGGCCTCGACAATGTGGGTGAAGAGTACACGATCACCCTCACTGACGAAAGCAGCAAGGGTCACTGGATTTTGCAGGACGTGTCTTGTCTTTTCAGATTCCAATTCGCAGAGCACCAAATCCATCAGACGCTCGATGAAATCTTGTTGTTCGTGAAAAGTTTCACTGGCAAATATGATACTGATACTTGCCTCCAACAGATGCACTTTGTTCCGGGACCCGAATGAGCTGTCCGGTAGAGCCTGGGCTGTATACTTGCACATTGCTTCCCTGTACTGTTCAGCTTCGGTGACTCTATTGTCCAGAAGACGTTTGCATATTACACTCATCGCAAGGCATGCCCTGTTTCGACATAGACCCGGTACATTCGTTCCTTGAAATATCAATTCTGCAAAAGTAAGGTCAAGAAGTTGCGGTTTCGCAATATATAAGGGGAACAATATGCGCAAAATATGGGACTTGTGAGATAAGAGAGGCCCTTCCTTGATATGCATAACAAGCTGAAAGCATTTCAGCATCAGTTCATTCATTTCTTCCCGAGCGCTGTCACAGAGCGGGATATAGGACCGGTGTACTCCGATAATTACAGCTTCAGTTGCCGTAATGGTTGCGTCCAGACAGCATTCCCATGCCTTCCAGGCTGTATCCACAAAATTCCTAAACTCCCATCCATGTACATTGCCGTCTGGAACAATAAAGCCCTTTGACTTAACCGAAGCAAAGCTCTTCAAATCGCTCTCAGCATCTTTCCCCCTAGTTGGCTTCCCTGACAGTAATGTCACCATTCTCCGCAGACTAGCCCTAAAAGCAAAATCGGGACACAGCTTAGCAGCTCTAGTCATAGCGCTTACTGTCCGAGATACTAGATTCTCATGGCGATCCTTTTCCCGCCTCAAGTCATCCTCGAAGTCCAACTCGTCGTAAAGAGTTGTTACGCTGTCTACGTTTTGTGGAAAACGTATGAGTGCCAAGCTAGCAGACTGTAGGTAGCCCGTAACTATGAAACGGGCTAGATTTTGGGGTGGAAACGAGTCCCCTACTACCTGTTTGTTCTTTGTGATATTGGCCAGGCATTCTGTAAAGAAAGGAACGACTGCAAGGCGGATAGCGCACGATGGGCTTGCGGCGGCACACAACATACATTCTACAAATGCCGCAGCGCATTGCTGCTCTTCTGCGGACAGGAATAGGGGCCCTTTTTGTTTCGAAATGAGAAATCCACTACAAAAGTTCGAAGATCCCAAATGCGAAAGCATAGTAAAGAAGGCCACTTGAAATTCATGCTCGTCTTCGTTGGCGATATCCTGCTTCTGAAGATCGCCAACAACCACTTCGTATGAATCCGCCAAGATCGGCACGATGGCTCTGGTAGGAGGGAAAAGTGATACTGATGCAACCGTCCGAATGCGAGACTCCATCACAAACTTAAGAAGGCCATAGAATACCGTATGGCAAAACTGAGCTTCAGATTTTCGTTCCTGCACCCCCGCGCCCTGTTTTCGATCGGATGCGTACCCAGCTTGAGAGAAATTCCGCCGAACCAGCTTGGTAAGCGCGGACAACGCACGATCTCTGGTCTCTGGTACACGCAGGAGCAAGAAACATGCGTCTGGAACATGAGCAGAGAACACGTCGTCGAGCGATGCCCATGATAGAAATGCATGAATTGTGTCTAGCGCTATATTCAAGCCATTGTAGTTCTTCTGCTGACTGAAAACTTCAGCCGCCGATGTGACAAATCCTAACGTTTGAGATAGGGTCAAGGCTAACGCATGAATGAGTTCTTCTCGTCGTTTAGAATCGATATAGGTGCCATAATCGTACACTTCCTCCGATAAGACCCTAAGTACATGGCAACAAGTCTCGGCTCTTTGTGGTTCTGAAAGTAGCTCATCAAGAAACGTATTCCATCGCTGAGGCCACTCTCGAATGGCTAGAGCTGACAAGAGAGAGGTTATCTTTTCTTGAACCATGACAGGAAACTCATAAACTCGTGAGCCACCCGCATGGACTTCAGACGCATTCTGGAAGAGCTTAACGGCCACCTGTCGCACGCTGGTACGTATCTCATCCGGAAAAGATACCCACGGAACTTTGGCACGAAACAGAACTTCGTCAAGAATGTAAAACCCATGGTTAAGTTCGGCTAGAGAAAATTGTTTCGCCGAGAGGATTTCAATTGACGGAGAAAGCAACGGAGCATTGAGAAGGAAAAAGACCTCCAGCGCCACAGCCGGATTAAGGCCTTTCAGCGCGGCGGTGGCATCAAGCAAGCACTTTTCAGACTTTTTGATGGACTCTGGTGTTGCGTTGTGCGAATGAATTGCGAGTAATGAGGAACGCACTGCGCTCGCTATCGCCGCAGCATCGCCCATTCCCGAATCGTCAAAACAATAAAGCGTTGAACCTATATTGTGCGCCAGATGGACAAGACTGACTGGTGTCAACTGGACCCAATGTCAATGCTTTCCTCATCTAACCGATACCAATAGGCAGAACCTTGCGTCGGATCGTTGCCGTTGAAAATCCTTGAGAAGTTAACAACAGACTAAGGGTGCTTTACTCCTAGTTCTTTGTCTTCCACTAGTAAACGTACTGATCTGCACTGAAGTTCAAGCTTCCCCTTGCTTGTGATCTGGCCAATCTTCGGCCTTAGAGGAACCCGACCAGCATGCTTCGTCAAAATGAGAAATCCGAGACTAACAATTGTAGAGGTGTCCCGTTTATCATACTACGACTTTGTAGCTTTAACGGGGTCAAAATCACAGGTTTTTGACAAAATTGTACGGCATTTTTTCCGCTTCATATTTGGGATCAGGCCTCAACCAATGTCCCTACATACCTGTATACAGTATTGGTGCAAATATAAAAAGATCCGAAAATTAAATGAGCAAAAAAGCTGTATCTTCCCGTCTGTAAACTTAGTGCGTCCTCTTGTTCCTTTCACATGTTCATATGTGCCACCGCCCTAAACGATGGGGTCCTTCCATTTCAGCCCCATAAAAACAATCTAGAACGCAAAGCGGTATGAAGGGCCAGCATGATTCACCACTTGCTTGATGCATTTTGACGGGAATAAAAAGCTCAGGGACCCTGTGCGCAATACAAGCGAATATGACTCTGCGCGAAGAAATACATTAATCTTTCTGAAAGAGTAGCATTCGCCTTCAGCCTCTTAATTACCCTGCAAGCCATCAAACAGTTTTCTCTGAAGCGAAACCCAGGATAGAAAAATTACGTTACCTTAGAAACAATAAACAAGATTTCGTGGCTTGAGTAGCAGGAATACTGAAAATGAAGTATGTATCATACGCGTATCAGACCCTCCTCACGGCTAAAGCACTAAAACGCTCTATCGCACGAGTAAATTCGATTTCATTCATGCGTTTCATAATGCGTGCATGCACTTCGAGCGCTTGCGTTATTTTCGGAATATGGAAGAGTATTTGAAAGTGCACCTTTAAAACTAGAGCGATCGTCATCTTTTGGACTACTTGGAAGGGAACATGATGACGATTTTCACACTTTTATTTCTCTCAATAGTAGAAAAACTTTAAGACGTTCAAAAGTGACAATCAGAATCTATAAAGATCCTCTATGGGACAACAAATGCTTCTTTTCAATCGCAAGTATACGTTTCTGCTTTGCGCTTGAGTAGTATTTCTACGCCATGTCTCATCTGGAACGTTTACTAAAAGAAAATCCGAGAAGGAATCTCAGCATTAACAATGTCCGTATTTCTAGTCACGACTGATTTGAAAGTACTCGTTTTTGAAAATAAAGCTTTGACTCTGGGGATTTTGTCTTTAAGCTCCTCGTCAAACATGTTGTTTCGATAATAGAATCTGTCTCCGTCCCTCAATGCCTTGAATTGCTTCTCCCATACGGCGATCATAGTTCGTCCAAGTGAACTGCCAGAAACATGGTCTTCTGCAACTAATCCTATCCATGCTTCAACTTTGTCCACCGTTCCATAGGCTGTCTGCAAAGCACTTTGAACATTTGCTTTCTTTGTAATACCGGAAAACCCAGCGGCCAATGGGATCCCAAGGCTTTTCCTGATTTCGTTGAATTTCGGAATGGCATGGTCACGACCGCGCTGAATGTTTAGGGCGATTAAATCAAAGAAGACGTCCTCTTCCGGTATTCCAGTAAACAGAAAATTTCGAAGTGCATTATGGACCTGAACGTCGATTTCCTGGGCCTTTGTCTGCATTGCTCCCCTCAAGAACTGTTCTATCCCACCTGTGAGTTTCGAGGCGAGGCGGAAAAACATGCTTTCCATTGTCAATGGAGACATGATTGAATTTCCAGGCCCACGGCGGTTCACCTTGTTCCCAACCATTGTGTGTCCTACACGGAATGCGGCAGTAGTAAAGACATCAAGCATAACTGGATTAGTCAGACCGTTGAAACCTCGGTACGGCGGAAGAGATTTCCCAACAATTGCAGGATAAAATTCTTCTAAGACTATCTTCTGAAATTCCGCACCACTGATTTTCCGAGACATGTTGTACAAGAGATCGTCATCCCATGATGGAAACTTCGACGATAGTTCTTCACAAAGGTCATTATGTTCGCGGAGCCACAGCGTGTGAAGGGAAGTGAGGACAGGATGCTCATTTGAACGAGTATCGCCTGCCACAAAGTATGCGCTTGTTGGCAGAGGAGCGTTGGTCAAACCCATATCATTGCGAGGGAGCAAATTTCCAGCACTGGTCTTCAATTTTCCGCCGGAAAAAGTGCGAAGGGCTCTTGATCTCTTAAGCTCTGAACCATACACGGAGGAAAGATCAAGAACAGACGTGAGGGAATTGACGGGTCTTTCGATATTGAGTTGAAGTGGCGATGTCTTGCCAGCACTCACACCAATTAGTCCGTGGAGATCCACTCTCACTCTCTGAGATCTCTTGAAACCCAGCTGTCCACCAGAGAAGTTTGCAAATATTGGATCATCGGTAGGGATCGGAATCGGCATCTTAGTTTCTCCAGCAGGTGTAATTACCATAGTATGGTCAATAAACTGTCCAAAGAAAACAAGCAGTTCATTCAGATTTCTGTCATTAAAGACATCTGCTGCTTGCCGGGACAACACATTAGAAATGTGCCTCGCCGATGGTAGCTTTGTTCCAGTGGGATTCAATGACGAGCTGTAACGAGAAAGAGAACCTTGCGCCCTTCCAGTGGATGCCCAAAGCTTCAAAAGGTTGTTCGTACAGACGCCGTTTATAGTGCGGAACTCTGAGCCACACTCCATTCTTTCCCGAGCAGTTGCAGCAGCTCCGTCGGGCTGCACAACCTGCAACAGTGCGTTTGCATCTGTGCCTTCGTTTCCTGGAGTAACTGGCTGAGCAAGAACAACGAAAACCAAACTAAAAACAAAGATGCACGGGACAAGGGTAGAGAATGCTTTCATGTCTCTGAAGAAGAAAGCGAAGAGTATCCGTGGATAGACAAGAAACCCGGTGCCCGCACGTTACACGACTGCAATTCACGAAAATTGGAGTAGGCCTAGCAGAATCTGTGATGCACACCTTCATTTGTAGTGAGCGGCCTGGCGACATCAGTTTCCTATTTGCCTACTCTGTTCTTATGCAGTTTACAAAATTTTCGTGTTTGCATCCCGGTGAAATGCTTGCGGTCTTGAATTGCGGAAGCAGGATAGTCCCTGATCATATCGAGTAGCTACATGATGCGGTTCTCATAGAACATAGAAACAAACTACAGAGTTGCAAGAATCTCAACTCTAGAAAAGAATGCACACGTGGACCAACTAGTAACGGATTTCGTTGGCTATCTGGTAGTGTACTGCTGCGAATAGCATATGTCACTATCGGATGTGCAACTGTGCTTGTTTTGCGTCGCCCTGCGAACATAACTCAGTAGTATCCGGCATCTATGGAGGCGTGGGTATTTGAGGTATAGTTTCTGGTATGACATTCCCGGAAGAGTGTCAAAACTCTAAATTTGCTACCTTCATATTTTTAGGAGTAGGCATGCTTCATCTGCGGCCCAGATCAACTGTAATACCCGACCGGTTCTATCCAGCATTCTTGTGGAGTTGCCCTGGCGAGGTGAGTTAAAGCTTGGACAGGCTCTCCATCCCGCGAATGATGCATCTCAAGTCAAGTGACTGCGGACTGCCATTGACTGGAATACACGGCGCAACAATGCAGCCCTTAATTGGTCATTTATGAATGATGGGCGTCTACCTTTAGGTTCCGAGGTTTTTAGCACTTTTACAGTCACTGATGCCGTCGTCTTCATAAACACCCTTGGCTCTCATCTTTTTTACCTCCAGCCCCCCACTGCTGTGTTGACGGAAGCACCACGGGGGAAGAATTCATTTTGCTAAAGCAACGCCGCAGATGGCCGGAATTGCGCTAGAAATAGCCAGGCAGAGATGATTTTCCCTTGAGGTTTGTGGTGAGTCCCCCACGCAAAACAGTTACACAATCAGAAAAATTCCACAATTTTCTCAAAACGAAACGTTTGGGAAGCGTAAAGATACTGACTGTACCAGGTATCATTACGTTTGGAATGTTTCCAAACACATGAGGGGTCCCTTGCAGTGCGACACGAATGACAAGGCGGCGTATATGCACTAACAACTGATTGCCAATCCACGATGCGAATTTTTTGACTCAGCATCTTGCTGATGCGAACATGCCGGACCGCTATACTGTAGATGGCCGAACAACAATCAAGGGCCTGCAGCAACCATTCTTACGCGACATTGCGACTTGAAGATTGTCGCGTCTGTGCCGTGGAAATTGAATAGAAACTGTTCTATTCAATTTCCACAGCATTGCACCGGTCCAAGTTTACTCTCTCCTGTCAATGTGGAACAAAGTGGCGTTTCGAGCCCAACTATCGTACAGCGTGTGTTGGTCGTTTTGGTTGTTCGGGTTGTTTTCTTTTTCTTCTCGCCCCTTTTTTCCTGCAAAAATAGAAAACCTTGAAAAATTACTACTGTACAAAAATCTAGTGCCAAAAATCAAAACATCAATCCAGCTTCACATGACCCTCCTCCCAGTGCAGCATACGGCACCGCACAACATATACCTCCATCCGTCTCGCGCTCCCTACTCGCGTTCCTCCTACTTGCGCCTCCCTGCGGCCTCTCTCATCGCCTGCACAACCGTATATTGCTCGGCACGCGCTTAGAAGTTCGCTTGCTTGGGCTTGTTGCGCGCGAAATCCGAAAGGAAGGGACCTATGTCTACTAGCTCAAGCTTGGACAGCCTCAGGGGCATGGGTATCCCACTTTACGTGGAGCGAGTGGTTACGAAGAGATCAGAACGGGGACGATCAAGCATATTACAAGTTGAGTACAACACTGGGGAGAAGGTCAAAGTTGGAGACCTTTCAAGCTTAGTAACGTATAGGCACATGCTGGCGGGAGACTTAACAGGGATGGCACTGAGGAACAATATGTTGAGCCTCAAGACGATTGGGGACTGTATATATTCTGCGTCAGTGAGGATAGAAGGGGGGAAGACTTGCTTCAACTTGCTAAGTGGTGGATCACGGAGGCTCGGCGTACACTCCAGTAGCGGAGTGTTTTTCCGCCCAGGTTCCGACTTGGAGACGTACGGCAGAACGGGAATCGGGTCTTCTAGCGCCAGGTGGGTCGACGCACACATCGAGGCACGCAACGTAGTTCGGGGCGAAGTGATCAATCGACTCACGCTCTCGGCCGACACGATGTATCTGATCGGCAGCGGGGTCGACACGGAGCTAACGGGGGTCCGAGATTCAATCCCCCAATGCACCATTTCCCCTTATGCTAAATTTGTCAAGATCGACTGGTGGCGAAAGATCGCAGAAGAAGCTGGGATCACTCTTAACATCCTTGAGGAATATGGAAGACCAGAGGCAGTAATACTACAAAGAGATGCTTCCGGAAATTGGGAGACGGGCCCCAGCTGTAACAAAAGTGATATTGATTGTCCGGAGTGTAAGGACTGCTCAGAAGGGATTGTTAGACATGCTGGCCGTTGTGGTTTCCTGTCTGAGGAGGAAGAAGGCAGGTTCGCTGTCTGTGTAGTCCCGGAACATGCAATGTTTGAAGCAAAAGCAACTGGTGGCAGATATATGGAAGGAAGATATAGGAAAAGGTTAATTATGAGGGCCATTAAATTGATCAAAGTGCTCAGATGTCATGTGGCAGATCAAGTGAGAGCCTTATCCAACACTACTGGATTGAAGATGGAAGAGGTGATTATGACTATGACGAGGATGGGCGAGGTCAGGAGAGAGTTTGCAGCCGCTAATCTATGCTTCCTGCTAGATAGTACCATGAACGGGGCGCTCGTCCAAAAGTCTCCAGTCCCGGTTACTATTTTGCAGGGTTCGACTTGGAGACACAGCGGCTCGACCGAGAACCCAGGGATGATCAGCGAAATTACGGGAGTGGCACCTGTAGGCACGGTAACGGATTACACCTTCCACGAACGCAGGACAGGGGATCCAGTGCCTGAGGCCGACGGCGGGAGCGATCTCAAAGCGGGCACAGACTCTAACGCCGTTTCTGGAGACTCAGTAACTGTACCAACACTTAACGGGGTCAAATGGGCTGCATGAACAGAAGCTGCGGGATCTGTACGCGACACTTGAGAAGGCACGAACGGTATACTACGTGCACCAAGTGGCGATCGATCAAATATATAATAGGGCAGCAGAGGACAAGGTGACAGGCAGGGACCTGGACTCTCTTATTGACGCTTTTCGCGGAGGAAGCACCGAGGGCAGACAAGAATACGACACACAATCAATGCTATGCACGAAGTGAATGACGCCAGATCGCTGCTCGATGTAGAGTGGTCTGCGGCTTAGTGCAGTAGAGTTTCTCCGAGGCGATCTGGGCGGCATGAAACCACTAGGGAAATTCAGTTTTAGAATCGGAGTGTGCATAGCACATCAACGCAGCCATGGCTGCGTTGATGTGCTGTGCAGATTTGTGATTTGGTACATGTTCTGGTGCTACTCCCAAGGGGTGGTGCCTTGGGAGCGATCGTGCGTTTGATACGACACAAAACGCCGTGTTGGCATGCTTTAATCGCAAAAAAGTACGAATCAATTTGCGATTGGTGATTTCCGGAGTCTTCACTGGAAGACTCTGGAAATCACAAATCGCAACAGATGGTCTTTGAAGTTTTTAGGGTTGGCCACAGCCCATGCCGTAAAATGCGCGTAGTAGATGGTGCGGCGCACAGATACTTGTCGGACCACTGACACACGCGAACCCCGCCTGACAGTTTCCGCCCTACTCTCTACCCCGGTTCCCACGACAGCAGCTACCCCGTACTGCTGTGGATGCAACATGTTCTTTCCAGATGGAATAGATAGCACATCTGAATTCATGGTCATGACTTTTGGCGCAGCACGAACCTGTAGCTTACTGTTTCTTGTTCTGGATTTGGGATGCCGAAAGCACAGTACTGCGTCTCTGAGTAATGTGGGTTCGCCTCCTTCGGTCCGACAAGCAGATCTAGACCCCTGGCTGCATGCTGTGCCCCTTCTAGAAATGAGAGCGTTCAGAACTCACGCGGGGAAATTTTCAACGATTACGTGAGGTTAAATCAGTTTATTCACGTTCGACGAAGAATTCGAATGTGATACAAATATCTATTTTGTTGTGTTGTCTAAGGAGTCAGACCATACTTCTGAAAACATCGTATGGGATTTCGTAGTGTTTGACGTCTGAATTTCGCAGAATTATTGATCGCAAAGTGTCTCTCTCATAGTACATTGATCGTAGTCTCGGCACTGCGTCCCACACTTCTTTCGGGAATAACCCCCATTGTCTGTAGAAAAATCGATCACCATCTCGCAATCTTTCGAACTCGGCAGCCCACACACGCAACAAAGTCGGGCCCATTGAAGATCCCGGTAAATGGTCTTCGGACATAAGCCCCACCCATGCTTCCACACGATCCGGTGTTCCGTATAGATGAAGGAGAATGGATTGGAGACTTGCGCTTCTCGTAATATCGCTAAAAAAGTGAGCAGGTCTTCTGTGGCACAGCCTTCGTATTTCGTTGTACGTGGGTAACGCGTGGTCCCTCCCTCTCTGGATGTTGAGAGCGATCAAGTCAAAGCCATTTTCTTGGGGAATGCCTGTGAACAAAAAGTTTCGCAAAGAGTCGTGAACTAGAGGATCTATTTCCTGTGCGCGATTAAAAATTGCACCTCGCAAGAACGGTTCTATTCCTTCCCTCAGGACATCGACTGGCCTGAAAAACATCTGCTGCATAGAAAGGGAAGCCATTTTCCACATGAACGGTCCGCGTCTATTGATCCCGTTGCCAACCAGAGTATGCCCAACACGAAACGCTGCTGTGCTGAATATGTTGCTGACTGTTGGATTGGCCTCAGATCTATACCCTCTGTACCCTTTAAGCCTTCTTCCTGTAATGGCAGGCAAGAACTGCTCATAGACAATTTTCTGAAATTGGGCACCATTGATTTTTCTGGCCATTTGGAAAAGCTGCTCGTCATCCCAATCTGGAAACCTCTCGGCTAGTTCTTCACATATCAGGTTGTGTTCCCGCATGAAGAGGGTATGAAGGGATGTCAAGACAGGGTGCTCATTTGCTCGATGATCTCCAGCCAAGAAGTATTTCGACTCTTTCGTGGGCGCGTTGCGAATACCAGCAGTGTTGATGGGAAGGTTATTGCCCGCGCTCGTTGCCATACCTCCTTTCCAATAACTCCGCAAAGCTTTCGCGCGCAGCTCGTCTGACCCATAGACAGACGACAAGTCGATTGCTGAGGACAAAGAGTTGATCGGACCCTCAACCGCACTATGCTCTTCCATTTTGCCGCGCTCCGTCCTTTCGAATGGCATATTTCCTCTTGAAAAGTTTTGAAACACAGGGTCGTAGGGGGGCACTGAAATCGGCATTGGCTGCGTCTTATCCACTGGAGATGCAACGATAGTGTGGTCTAGAAACTGCCCGAAAAACGTCAATAGCTCGCTTAGCCCTCTTCTGTTGTAAACATTGCCGACTTGCTTGCATAGAATGTTTGATATCAAACGCGGAGAGGGCAGCTCACGTCCAGTAGGGGTTCTGGAGCTGCGATTCGGAAAGTAAGAGAAGTGCGGTCGGCCCGCGGATGCCCAAGTTTTGTGGCGTTCGTTGGTGCATGTACCGTCGTACGTGCGGAATTCGTTGTGGCAGGGCGTCTCTTCGCGTTCTTCAAATTCGTTTTCGCCTGGATCAACAGAATCCAACGATGCGGTTCCCACACCATTTGGGCGTGGCGCTTGTCCAAACGCCAAAGAGAGTATTGCACAGAGCGCTAGGAAGGCCAAGTACCGAACCATCATGCTGAGTAGCTCCGGTCAATCGCTCAATGAAGGATAGCCACACGCGACGGGATGGAATGAAAAGGTCCTCTGTGGCGGGAGACGAGTGTGGCGAGGCTAGGGTGGAGGGGGGCTAATGTCGATTTGTAGAGGTGTAGGCAAAGTAAGTACAGTACAGTAGGGTGGGGGAAGTGGAGGGAATATGAGTAAACGAGGGAAATGGGGATCACGTGTTTGACGTACGAGAGGATTGATTTAGACTTGGGGGGAAGGTTGGAGTGTTGAATTTTCAGGGTGGTGAGAAGGGGGAAGACAAGGGAATGCAGGGCACATCGAATGTAAGAAGAGATGTGTTACAAGAGTCCACCCTCCCCATAGGCATCAGATTAAGCGTGTGCCAAGAATGTGGCGGAAAGCGACAATCGCTCTCAAAGCGATTCGGGCAGACGAATGGTGTGGGTGAGGTTGTGGGGGCGCGCGTTTGGACGTAGCCATATATAGTATATATGGCATATTCAAAATGTGGGCGAGGTGGCACTGGAGGCGGGGACGCTTTTGGTGGGGACGCTCCTAGATGGGGATGGTACCCTTCGAAGGGTAACTGCACCCTAAAAGTTGGCGAGGTAAGCGTTTTCTGTAAACTAGATGAATGTAGTCGTGTGTACCCTGTTTGCACTGTACGAGCTGTACTAGGGTGTGTACAAGACAAAAAATCAGACTGGGCGGGACAGCTGACCCACGCGATGCGTGAAAGGGTGATTGCCGCGTGTTTTTCCCTCTATGTAAAGCGCGCAAAATCTCACATGGCCCAATATGTGGCACGTTCTGACGATGCATGTCTTCAGATCATCGCCCATGACGTGGGCCGGCCCCCCTACAGACTACAGACACCGAATTTTCATCAGTGTCAGCCTTTCGTGCCTTGCTTACACATCCGGAGTCTCGTACATTCAATCTACTGTATGACAACCCACATCCTTGAGATGTTGACATACTTGCCATCAATCTCACCGCCTCACAGACGCCCGTCCACCTGCCGAATATCAACCATTTATCCTTATTTTTGCCCAAGTTTACGAGCCCCTGCCTTTCTGCTGTCCCCCATCCCATCGACCGACCGTTCTTGACCACCTCGCTGCTGACCGCCCTGCGTTTGGATGCCGGTTGCGTTCCTTTTCCATTTATCTTTGTTGACATCACTTTAACTGCCTCCAGCAGTCGCTGTGCTACTCGTAATGCCCCACCGAATCTCAACCTTCAAGAATCCTTCTTGTCCGTCAGATAAACAAAAAAAAAAGTCACTTACAGTACTCCCGGCATGCTCTTGAGTCTTCAAAAACCTTGAATACTGTAGTACTGTACCCTAAACCATGCAAACCTTCAAAGGACAGCAGATGTGCACTGCACATCACAATAAGGTTGGAAAGATGCTTCTGCACATTGTGCAGAAGCATCTTTCCAACCTTATTCCACCATGTTAGCGCTAATCGCCCTAGTCATAGTGCTAGAAGCAACTCGCCCGTCGACCATAAGTTTTATTGAGGCCCGGGAGATCTCTGAGACGAGTCTCGCGACAACGAAAATCTCAACCGATTTCCTTCTCACGGTGTTGCCATCACTTCAGTTTCATTTGTTTTTTACTTTTCTTCATATCACGCACTTGTCGCCAACTAGTGAGATTACTGTGCATCCGCAGCTTGTTCTGGGTGCGCCGCCTATCTCTTCAGCGAAAACGCATGCATAAGCCGTAGTGGATACCAACATCATAAGTATCGCTAGATATTTGCTTGGTTCGTATTCTTCAGACGTTGATCACAACGCATCCAGCAACAAGTTGCTCCTCGGCAGTAATATCACCACTCGTACTCATTCCACCTGAGACAGGGATTTACCTGCTCCCTCATCAGATGCAACTAGACAAGACGTCGCCGTCTTTTCCCTATACTGTACACAATGGAGGATGTGTATGACATGACGTTGGAAATGAAAGTGCGCTCGAGTTTGCTGTTGGTGGTGGATTATTGAAGGGCGACTACGCTTCCAGCACAAATGCCGATGGAGCCCCCTGCACTCCAAGCTTGCTGCCGTCGGAATGCTGCAGCATACCAATCCTTCTTGTGGTCCGAACTTTGCGCGTATTCGCAAACGATCTCGGCTCGCATCTCGGTTTACAACGTGGTATTCCTGAGCGAATGGGCTCGGCTTGTCTCACCTCCCGCCATGCGCCACGTCGGCAAAAAGTAAAGGACATTACCCTTTCGTCATCCGTTTCATGGAAGTACGAGGGGGGATGTTCCCCGATGCTTCCACGCCCTCTCGCACCGTAGGGCTGCGCGCAATCCAGCTACCCCCTCCACTTGTCTCAAGTTGTAGGCATGCCTGTGTTGTGCATCAAGGGTACGAATGCTTATGGCTGCAGCCCACTAGGTAGGCTCTGACTTGTCTTAGGGAAATAAGACGCCTCAATCCGTCCTATGGTGATGGGTGTGTAGCGGCTAGCAGTTACCCTGCGACGCCATCTGATTCGACGGGGATGGAAGTGCTGTGCGGTACCGCACATTGTAAGGACTAGTCCTCGATAGGGTCAATGTGGTTCGGTTTTAATTCGAAGTTGAATGCATAATGTACCCTATAACTTAGTTATAGGGTACATTATGCATTCATACAGTACAGTATATCAGTACCTTGGTTTCGAATTGCGCATGTACAGTGAACCCTCGCTATCTGAATCCTTGTTATGTGAATATCCGCTATATGTGCATGCCATTGCTCGGAACGAGATCTGGAGCGTTGATTGCAGGTCACATATGAGGTATTCATGAATACGGCCTAACTGAATACCACAAGCACATCTTAATCATAACAGGCCTCATACAAGAGCATTCTATGAGACAAAACTGAGCTATGATAACTTTATTCATTATAAATGTGGTTCAATTTCCAGTTTTCCTGGGCAATCGAAAATGGACACACCTCGAACGCGCAAACCAAGCCAAGCAGACCCGCATTACTCAATATTTTGGTTAAAACTTATGGGATTGTTACATATTTGGGCTGTATATGAAACATCCTTGGAAACTGAATATGCACGGAAGGAAGCAACCATCCATATTCAGATATCGAGGGTTCACTGTACCGTTGTACTGTACCACGGTACCCCGAAGGGGTGCACATCGAGAGGAAAAGACGTTGGTGGAGAGGTGGGGGGGCTGGAAGTGACTGGCGCGGCTATTGAGGCCGGGAGGACAAATGATTAGAAGTCTTTCGAGACACGACAAGGGATCAGACACAGTGTTGAATGTGTCAGAGTAACTGACTAGCCGAGTAGTCACTTTAATTAGCTTATCATTATCAATTCAGGGTAAACTATGTAGGATACATTTAGCTATCAACAATAGAGTCCCTTAAGGACGTGCCACCTACAATTCTACCTGTTCAGGGTGTAACCGTTCAGAGACATTTTATGGGTGGCGCAACCTCCCTTTTATGGTAGTGCGCCTACTGTTATTGTAGAGTCAATAGGACTATAAAGCCAGGTCGAAGACGCTACTCGTCTTCGACCTCAGCACATTGAACCCATCTGAACAACAACCCGACAACTACTGTCCCGACCGTGCTCACCCGTCCCCTCTCGCAGTTACGAGGCAATAGCCTGCTGCTTCCCTCACCGCCACTTTTTATCATACCGACAACCCCGCTGGACCGCCCCACCCGGTCGGTCTCCCGACACTGATCAGTTTAAGGGACCACCGCCCCATTTGGTCCTGCCCCGCTCCGCTGACAAGACTTGCCTTATTTCGCCTTCGTTTCAAGCCGTTTGCGCATCGTTAATAAGGCCGCCTTGTCGACTCCACCGAATTGGAAATCAAGATTTTTTTTTTCAAGAATCTACTTTGTCCCTAACGTTTACTGTACATACTACTGTATAGTTTTACAGTAAACGTTATACATTTGGGCTACAGTACTACGTACTGTACGCCTGGCGCAACAGCGCAGTAGTTTGTGGCACGTGTGAAGCGCCCTACCAATCACCCCGACGTAATTCGGGAACGCCGCATCGCCGCCGCCGCCGCTCGCATTAAGGCAACCGTAAGCGCGCCGCCGTTTCGCTCGCCGCCATCTACTTTCTCCGCCGCCGCATCACCGCCGCCGAATCGCTCGCCGCCAAGTACGCCCCTCGCCGCACAAATACAACACGTGGCCACTACTCCTCCCCGCCGTTCAGTCACCCCGCCGATCTCCCCCAACGGAACGACCGCATCACATTCTACATTGTTTCAGGCGCCCCGTCTGGTGGACATCGAGGCTACCGAAGCCTCGGACGAGGACACCTCCGCGCCCGTAGACCCTGGACTCGACCTCGACACCGGTCGTGCGCTACATATATATCGCGTCGCAACGCAGCGCGCTAATCGACGAGCTAATCCTCCTCGCCGTCGGCCCCTCGTCTACCGCTGCGAACCGTGCGCACGAAGCATTCCTAGCTACCGCCAGCGCCGCTCTCACGAGGCAGGTCTGCCTCACCGACGTGCAGTAGCCGTCGCAGAGTACCCTACCCGCAAACTCACCTGCCACGTGTGCGACCGCCGATTTGCCAACGGGCACGACGCTGACGCTCATTACGGTGGCACTATTCACCATCGTGCCATACGTAAATTGCGCACTACTCGCAAATAATTAGAGTGTAAATTTTTTTTGACTCACGTGAAATTGTTTCAAATTCTTTACTTCAAAGTTTTTGAAAAGGACACTTGTCACTAGAGCAAATTTTTTGGCGCACCACGGACCCACGTGTGCCTACCCCCACGCACACACGTGCTGTCTGTGTGCACGTAACCACGTGTAACTGCGCGCACACGCAACCACGTGTTACTGCGCACACACGCAACCACGTGTTACCGCACGCACACCCGCCCACGTGTTCGTACCGACTACGCATACACGCGTACTACTATTGTACACGCACACACGGTTCACTACACACGTGTTAGTACTGTTATACGAGTAATCGTCCCGCCCTGGTGAACGTACACACGTCTGAAATACTACTACGGGTACAAAACACCACACGTTTACACGTAGTACACTCGCCACGCTACTACAGGAACACTTTTCGAGGTCAACATTC